TCATTTATTAGTTTGAGTCCGTGCGGTGACGAATTAAGAATACGAAGTGTACCAGTATGACCCCTATTTATCCCGTGGGTGTCATAAGAGCCGACTAAGAGAGCAAACTACGCAGGACAACAGCACGGCAAAGAGAAGGAAAACTTGAAACAAACCCTATACTAACCCGTCTGGTCAACCTTCTTTCTAAAGAGAAGCCTATGTCCAGCAGTGGACTATTTAAGGCTGTTGATGATGATGATTTCGTTGCGGTTGCCAAGACTGTGTAATTTTTCCTGAAACTTCTCAAGTGCCATAGAGCGGTGCGTGTCACTGCTGTTGGTCCACGCAAAAGAGCGTGATCAGTGGAGAACGGTCGTCTCAGGGGAAGTCGAAGAGCCACCTCCCGAGGATCAAGCCCAGATACTTCATCATGGCCTGAATCGGTACGAGGACCAAGTTGACAACAATTGAGGCGCCATAGGGAGGACCACGACGGGGCCCATGAAATAAGAGGGCCCCCGTCTTATCCAGGGCCACCCGTAAGCCCAGCGCCTCAATTCGCTCACCGGGCTGTGAGTAACGTATCAACGGCGTAACAAATTACACCCAGCTCGGGAGGGATAATCAGCTCGAAGGGCCCAGTCGGACCCTATGTTCCACAGGAGGGGTCCAGAGAATAGACCCCTGTGGAACACCGCACGACATGGGCCGACACTTCAGATTACCATCTCGGACCTCGTACACGACGGTACGCTCATCTAAATATTCTGCCACGAGCCGCCTCAGGTACTCTGGCACCCCATGATAGTGGAGTGCTTCCCTGATACAGCTGAATGGCAGACTCTTGAATGTGTTGGCGACAACAGTCGCCACTCTCCGACCTAACCTAACCTGGCACCACGGCAAAACTTAATTCGACTCCGACTCGAATCCGGTTTTCTATGCAGGTGTTGTCATGGAAAATATTTCCTCCCCCCTCTGACTATTTAAGTTACCTTTATCTAAAAGAGGGGGTACCCCCTCACAAAGATAATAAATATCCGCAATGTAATCTTAATTAGTTACAATATATTTATAACATAAAAAAATTGCTAAAATCATTGATATCTATGGCCTAGATACAAATTATATTGAATAACTAGCTGTGACCCGCGGTGTTACCCGCGTTTGTTGTTATAACGGGGCGAAGCTAGTCTAAAAAAAGTAGCCTAAGTTACTCCTTATGTCATCAGCTATCTGCTAGTGGAAGTCCCGTCGAAATCGGTCCAGCCGTTCCAGAGATTACCCGGAACAAACAGGCAGACAGACAGACAGACAAAAGTTGTAAAAATGTTATTTTGGCATATGTACCGTGTAAACATACATATGCATTTAGTAAAAAGCGGTTATTTTGATATTACAAACAGACACTCCAATTTTATTTACTTGTATAGACTAGCTTTGCCCTGCGGTTTTACATGCTTTCGAGCATCGAAAACTTTTGGGGCAAACGATTTTTCTTTTTGAATTTATAGAAACTTATTTTCTACTTTTTATTAGTTCTGTAGTCACAAAACGTGTTTTGTTTTTTTTTCTATAATTTATTTTCTCATCTATACAAATAAATAAAATTGGAGTGTCTGTTTGTAATGTTAAAATAACCGCTTTTTACTAAATGCAAATGTATGTTTACACGGTACATATGCCAAAATAACATTTTTACAATTTTTGTCTGTCTGTTTGTTCTGGGTAATCTCTGGAACGGCTGGACCGATTTCGACGGGACTTTCACTGGCAGATAGCTGATGACATAAGGAGTAACATAGGCTACATTTTTTAGACTTTGCCCGTGGTTATAACAACAAACGCGGGTAACACCGCGGGTCTCAGCTAGTTAAGACTAAAACAGTAACAAGTAAGTGAGTCACATATGCTTCAGCGCACGCCTCTTAGTACGTAGCAAAAGACACTACCGTATTTTTAGGTATGGAAAAAGCCGTTAATCCTGAAGATCCTGACCATGATATTAGACCAAATTTATCAAATTATTGTATTGTCATCAGTCATTGATAAGTGTGCGAAGTTTCAATTTAATTCGACGTTTTGAAGTGGGTCATAATCACGTTCGAAGATTCCGTTACATACATACTGTTACGAGCGGGGTATATAATAAATAAAATTTGTCAGTTAATTACTTTATTGCACTGTATTTACAAACACTCACTATAATAAACTAGAAATCACTATATATATCTTGTTAGTCGCACTAGAAATTCACTCCGATGTTAATTTGTAAAAATGTTGTAAAACCACAGACAAACACGAATGTTCCAGAATCAGTCACGCGTTACTTGCAGCGCTATCTAGCACTGTAAGGATCAGAACTACTCTTAATAACCACAATCTTAATAGATGTACTTTAGTCAATACTAGATGGCGCTGTCCTCCACATTTAATACAATCGAACCACTTAATCCTAATACCAAACTAATAAAAGCGTGTGAAAAAAACGCACAAACAGTTCCCTTCACGTTTTAGTATATTGATGATTAGCTGGGCCGCGTAACTTCTTTTTTTTTTTTTTCAAAAGACAACTCCCGAATTAGGAATAAATCCTGTGTCGCGGGTGACTTTAGAAACATACATGAAACGGACACAAAAAACACCCACACTCAGAACAAAAATTTGTGGATCACACAAAGTGTCGTCCCATGTGGGGTTTGAACCCACAACACTCGGCGTAGTTGGAAGCGGCGTGGCGACCGCTTAAACCACTGCGCCATCCGTGCAGTCAATGGTCTGCATCTCTCAAAAGGAATAAATTTGCCCCAGTTTTGAAACAGTTTTCGTTACATCACATCATCAACTGCCTATAACAGCAAACTGCTGGACATAGGCCTCTCCTTAGAAATGAGGTTTTGGCCTACTATACCACGCTGGGTAGGGTTTTGTTCACCTTTGTTGAATTGCGTCAATTACATATATAGTCTCTCTCGATAGAGAGGCTATCCAACACTATAAGAATTTTCAATTCAAACCAGCAGTGCCTGAGGTTAACGCGTTCAACCAAACAAACAAACTCTTAGCTTTTTATTATTAGTACAGACTAGCTGAGACCCGCGGTGTTACCCGCGTTTGTTGTTATAACCTCGGGCAACGCCGCGGGCCGAAGCTAGTCTAAAAAAAGTAGCCTAAGTTACTCTTTATGTCATCAGCTATCTACCAGTGAAAGTCCCGTTGAAATCGGTCCAGCCGTTCCAGAGATTACCCGGAACAAACAGACAGACAGACAGACAAAAATTGTAAAAAATGTTATTTTGGCATATGCACCGTGTAAACATACATATGCATTTAGTAAAAAGCGGTTATTTTAATATTACAAAAAGACACTCCAATTTTATTTATTTGTATAGATTGCTTTGACATTATGTGTGACCTGTTAATTTTAATCCCTAATTGGATAAGAAAACTGTCGTCATAAGCGTATGGTCCATTATTATGCATTTTATTATCTTGATAATTTATTAGGGTTCCGTACCTCAAAAGGTAAAAAAAGGAACCCTTTCTTGTCCGTCTGTCCGTGTGTCACCACCGATTTTCTCAGGAATGGGTAGACCTAGCAAGTTGAAATTTATACCAGATACTGAGGTCTATGGTCCCTATTAGGTGTATAAAAATCAAGGTCCTGAGTCAATACGATAAAAAGATATGGGCAAATTTCGATTATCGCGAAAACTTGTTCGCGAAAAAAGTACCAAAATTTACCGAAAGAACAATGGCAGAAACATATTTACCTAAAACTTAAGCGTTTAAAAAATCGAATCACAGTAAACTTAATCAATATTTTTTCTATGATTTATCATTACACCAACATGTGTTGTATAAGTCTTATAAGAGATAGGATATTTTTGAAGATTTTATTTGACCTAAGTACGTAATGTCAGATTCGCCATCACGTATAACTGACTAGGGATGCGTGGTGGCAATATTATTATTATGAAATGTTTTACCAATATCAATTGTAATAGCCTTGGCTGAAATATCTACCGGAGGTTCACCTATTATGATCATGAATTTGCTTCTGCCCACGGCTTCACTCGTACGGTAGAGTGACTGAATCAACATAATTAGAAATAATTTAGAATATTTTTGACTCTCTTTAAACGATTTTAAAAACACTAAAGAAATAGAATATAGTTACGTTATTTTCCGACGTAAAAAATATACACTACACAGTGTGATGAGAAAAATACATTGTCATTGATAACGGCACATAAATAGACATACATCGATATTTTCAAAATGTCGATACGTCGTCGTTTAGATCCTGTCAAGTTCCGGACTCACCCCGTTTGTTATTTATTTTTGTTTAATTTAGTGTTAAACTCGCTTAGATATTGTAATAATAATGAAAATAATATTTTCGGCTATCTGACACACAACGCCATCTAGTTTTAAACAAAACATTAACAATATGTTAGTACTTAACATCGAAACATTCAAAATCTAATATCTTTTTTCCTAGACTTCTTTCGCTAGTAATTTTGGTATTAGAATGGTCAAGAATAAATTCTCGAGTGTTAAGGATTTTTTGATATTTAAACGCTAACATTTCAGTACAAATAAAATTATGTATGGGGACTTGCCATTGTCCTTTTCAACTTTTTTTTATTTTTCCGAATTTTATCTTTACTTGTGCTGTAAGACCTTGCTTTTAACCAAAGATGACAATTCTAGGTCAACCGGAAGTACCCTATAGGTTTTGGGTCGAAAACCTATATGGTAGTTCCCGTTGACCTAGAATCACGAAATTTGGCAAAAAGAAACGTCTTACAGCACAAATAAAGGAATAATTTAAAAAAATAAAAAAGTTATAAATTAAGATAAATTTTGGTACTTACAAATTTTCGCGAAAATCTACGTAAAATCTGGGTAGGTACGGAACCCTCGGCGCACGAGTTAAACTCGTACCTGACCGGTTTTTTATCAAAAGAATTTCAATAAAAATCACATTTGGAAATTTCATTCCATCAGCAGCCATGATGCAGTTCGTGGGTTCCCTTCTAACAGTGATTGCTGCTGCATCAGGTAAGTTATTATTTCTACAGAAATACTGTTATTTCTAAATTCTAGTTGTAATTAAAAAAAATCGGTTGTCTGTAAAGTTGGTTTACTGACGATAGTTGAACGTGACAACGTCATAAGAAAATACTGATGGAATGGTTGCATTTTTCAAAAATGTATTATTGTATACGAGTAGCAGCTGTCCACGCGGACGCATCGCTCACTCAAGTAGGAGAGAGACAGATGTCGAACGCTGCCGAACGCGGAGGCCGATTGTGCCTCTTTGTCACTCGTTCCGCGCTCTCGCTTGCACTTCACGCCTTAAATGGAACGCCTCAGAGCGAGGTAACGCCGCATGAGTCATGTTTTTTCGTGCGTGCAGCCGGCTCTATCGAATTATAAGACGTTGTCACGTCAAAATTTGACGGATCTGTTGGTTAAGTGATTAGTTACATGACTGCTATCCCAGAGATCATGGGTTCGATTTCCACTCAGGACAAATAATTGTATGATTAACTACCCTGTAACCGCGACTTCGTTTGCCTGGAATTTGAAAAGCGCTGCCTTAGTGGTGTAGTACGGTACGCGACTGCAGTTCAGGAGGCCTCGGGTTCGATACCCGCACCGGGCAAAATTCTTAGGATTTTTCTGAGAGGAAAAATAGCCTTAGTTACTCCTTATATAGACAGCTACCTGGTAGTAAAATATTACAGAGTCGGTATGGCCGTTTTGAAGATTACCCGGATTGAACAGACAGACAGATGGACAAAAAATAATTACAATCGTTTTCAGGCATAAGTATCGTGCAAATAATTGTGCGAGCATTAAAAAAACCCACTATTTTGACATTATAAACAGACACTTTAATTTTATTTATTTGTATAAATATATGATAGCTGACCCGGTACCAAAGAAATATAATCGCCATTGAAATTAGGGGTGCAGATAGGAGGGTGAACAATACTTTACGACTTAACATGTCTAAACATGTCTTCATCAAAATAGTCGAGTCGTTTCGGAGGAGAGCGAACACAAAAACTTATTTTTAATAATAATATTTTGGACATCTGACACACAACGCCATCTAGTTTCAAACTAATGAGAGCTTGTGGTTTGAAAGCAAGATTGACTGATAGAATACTTATATACTTAAATACATATATACATAGAAAACACTCAAACTCCGAAACAATTATTTGCAGATCATAGAAATATTTGATCGAACCCGAAATCTCACCACCGAGGCAGTCTTTGGTTAGTTGGTTACCTCCGGTTGTCTGTGAAGTCGTGATATCACTAGAAGGAGCCAACCCATTTGTACCGAAGAACGGGTCTCCCATGGTTCCCATTATAACCCATCTCTGTACCAATTTTTATCTAACTGTAACTGAGTAACATACATCTTTACAAATTTTCGCGTTAAAATTTTTGTTTTTCCAGCTCTACCTGCCGATCCAGTGATCAGAAAACTGGACGATGGTCTCCGTTATCAATATGCCGAAGGTCCAGACGGAACACCTCAGCTGGTAGACTTGTGGCTGAAGTCTAGTGACCTGGCGAAGTCTGCGAGATATAATCCAGATACTGATAATGTATACCATTTGTTTACCAGGTATGCAATACTGTCATATAAGTATTTTTTTTAAAGATTTTTAGAAGTATTTTACCGTGGTAACACATGGCAAAGTTAAGCAATCAAAGTCAGGTCAGTCTATAGATGGATGACCACTTCTTAACACGTTGAGACCCGTACATGCCTGGGAGAGCACCTGCGGGTCGTATAAGAACATCTGTAGCAATCGTTACGGGTAGTGGGAGTCTTTGGAACTGAGGAATAAAACTTAAATATTGACGAAAAAGATATTATTTCTTTAAGAGTGGGGACAGACTTGACTGAACAATGCAAAATATTGTCACAATGCTAAGGATCGACCTTTTCATCATCTACAGCCTTTACTAGTCCACTGCTGAACATAGGTATTTCCTTAGAATGGAGGTTTTGGGGTACTATACCCGTTGGCGAGACGGGTTGGTATAGGTTTTGTGTCAAGTTTTCCTTCTCTTTGTAGTGCTGTTGTCCTGTGTAGTTTGCTCCACCCACGGGATGAATTGGGGTGGAGACACTCCGTATTCCTAATCACGGACGTTTTTTGTTGCTATACAAATAGCTGTAGGTGAATTCAAGTTTACCGGGTCATCCAGTTATGGATGAATTACAGCCAGACACAGAATAAGTGATAGTGTACATCACACAGTTTAGGTCCTGGGTACAAATCGAACAAATTATGTTCAGCAAATGTGGCCATTGGGGATATAGAATGGAATAGAATAGAATATGCTTTATTGTACACCAATTACAGTAAGTTGGTTAAATATTACAGATGGATATGTACAGTGGGCGGCCTTATTGCTAATAACAATCTCTTACAGGCAACATTTGGATGGACAAATTGACAGTAGATAAGAGGAAACAGTATACCCAGGCCCAAAGGTACATCACCTACATTCAGCAGTGGACGGCGATAGGCTGATGATGATGGTGATGATGATATAAATGTCTTTGTTTCTCTTCATCAAAATTTTATTTTCGACTCTGATGCCACCTTTCAGACTGAACTCACAACGGAGTCAGATTATTCCAATGGGAGATGATGCACTCCTAGGCAGAAGCAACTTCGATCCCTCCAAACGGATCATCATCCTGGTACATGGCTGGTTGGATAATGTTGTTTCCGACTTAAACACCGTTCTCGTACCAGGTTAGTAAATATTCTGAAAAGTTCTCGAAGGTTCTCTAAGGTTCTGAAGGGTTCTGATGAAATAAAACTCAATAATGAAATATTAGTAAGAAAATCTGTCTATGTCTGTTGGTGTCCTGTGCTGGTGGCTTCTCTAGTCACAGGACGAATATACGAATACGTAACCCTGGTTGCTTCGAGGTACAGCAGTGTCAGTCACGTATTCGCGTCTTACGTCATCTGATTCTCTTATCTCATCTTCCTCACCTTAACCGTTTTCCCTGCTTTTATTCACTATCTTCCTTAAGTCCTTTAGATAACATGCCCAGGGAGGTTTATCGATAGGTAAGCTGTCCACCAAAACCAGAATCCACCTTTTAATGCTGGCAAATGATGATGATCGTGAACTAACCGATGGGGCACATGATGGTAAGTGGTTATCGCCGCTAAAGGATGCCTGTAACTCAAAAGTTACTAGTGCGTTGCCTCCTTAGGAGTGCAGCCCTCCCATCTACCCAGAATTAGGGGAAGGAGTTTGATTGAGCTCCAGTTACTTAACTCACTCAGTAAACTTTCTCGGTTAAAACCAATTAAAGAATTGCGCCTCAGGTAACCTCGTTACTTGCTTAACCCTGGTTTTTTGTGAGCCCGAGGAATACCATTACGGGTCATGATTTCCCTAAATTATATCAATTCTTTCATGCAGTGTCCATACTATTTATAATTATTTCCCTTCTTCCAGCTTTCCTGGAGGCAGTTGACGCAAACGTTTTCGTCGTTGATTGGTATGCCGGTGGTGGTTTGACCAACTACGCTACGGTTCTATCTAATATGCCTCTCTCAGGTTAGTTAATATTTTTTTTATGGAATAGGGGGCAAACGAGCAGACGGGTCAACTGATGGAAAGCGACCATAAACGCCTGCAACTCAGGAGTCACAAGCGCGTTGCCAGCATTTGAGGAAGGAGTACCCTCTTTTCTTGAAGGCTTGAAGGTCGTATCGGTCCGGAAATACCGCAGCCGATAGTTTTACAGGTTGTTAGTGCGACGCAAAAAGTGTCTTGAAAATCACACAGATGTGGAGCGTCAATCATCCAAGTGGTGGAGATGAAAATTTTTGGTTGATTGGATAGGTCAGCTGATAGCAAGTGACTATCATCGCCCATAGACACATGAAACTTAAGAGACATAAGTGCGTGCAAAGAACCCCTCCCTCTCCCGATGTTGCTGAAGGGGGAGGGGGGAGGGACGTTTAATAATTGCTTAACTTAAATTTTCTGGGCAGCGGTGTCATTACCACCTATTATTAGGGACCATAGACCTTAGTATCTATACAAATAAATAAAATTGGAGTGTCTGTTTGTAATATTAAAATAACCGCTTTTTACTAAATGCATATGTATGTTTACACGGTACATATGCCAAAATAACATTTTTTACAATTTTTGGCTGTCTGTCTGTCTGTTTGTTCCTTGTAATCTCTGGAACGGCTGGACCGATTTCGACGGGGCTTTCACTGGCAGATAGCTGATGATATAAGGAGTAACTTAGGCTACTTTTTTTAGACTAGCTTCGGCCCGCGGCATTGCCCGCGGTTATAACAACAAACGCGGGTAACACCGCGGGTCTCAGCTAGTCTGGTATAAATTTCAACTTGCTAGGTCTACCCGTTTCTGAGAAAATCGGTGGTGACACACGGACAGTCGGACAGGAAAGTGATCTTATAAGGGTTCCTTTTTCACCTTTTGAGGTACGGAACCCTAATAACCTATTATTTTGACATTACAAACAGCCACTTTTATTTATTTCTATAGATAAAAAACAATTTCTTTTCAATTTCTTTCTTTCTTTTCCAGGTGCTGGTATTGCTAGATTCATCACTTGGCTCACCAGAGCCTCTGGTGCTGGCTTATCGAGATACCACCTCGTGGGCCATGGTGTTGGTGGGCATCTGGTCGGAGTAGTCGGTAGAAACCTTGGAGGAAGAGTTCCTTACATAACTTGTGAGTATATTGAGGTCTGTTGGACTAGTGGCTGGTGACCCTGACTGCTAAGCCGGAGATCGTGTGTTCGATTCCCACCCAGGACAAATAATTGTGTCATGCCTGGCGGGCCGCGGCTTAATGAATGATGTTGGGAAGTTATATATATATGCATCATATTTCTAGAATTGTTAATATCGTGATACACGATAGGTAGTTACTCCGTAGTTCGGTGTGTCTTCGTTAGATGGCGCTGTAGTATGTTTATTTGTTTCACAGAAGTCACCACAATGTGAATGTATTTATAAATATATAAGTATGTTTATCAGCAGTCTGGTTACCAGAGTACAGGCTCTGCCTAGTTTGAGATCAGACGGCCATGTGTGAGATGTGTGAGGTTATTATTATTTTATTACTAGCTTTTGAGCGCAGCTCCGCCCGCGTGTATGTCGGTTACCGCGGTAAGAAGAATTGTGTTCTCATGTATTGCTTAAGGACTTGGTAAATAAGAACGACTTTGAATATTATATCGTCATATAATCAGAGCACTAGATTTACGTCTATACAGTGTCGCGTACTGTTACATATATCTAATGTACCTAAAAGTGCATAGGCCACCCCTATCCCCGTCGAATGGGTGGTGCAGCCCAAAGTTGACGTGTCAGCACTTTTGCCCATGCACCAGTCCTATGTCCGGGCTCGCATCCATCCTCCGTCGCGTGTACTCGTCCTAATATATTTCACATGTGCCAATTAAAAATATTTAATCAAGTGATTTTTCAACATTATAATCGTTCAAGTTCTATAAGTGTTTTTTTAAAACCTCCTCAAAATTGGCCCGCGTAACAGTACGATCAAGCAATGGCTACGCTAGAGTGTACATCTTGCTACGTAACTCAGTGATGCGACATACTACTACTTACTAAAGTAGTGATGTTACAACAAGAAGTAGTCTATTTTCAAATCGGTTTAGTTTTTTTAGGCACGAAACCGCAGCAAACTGATTCGCACGGGAGCAATGCAGATACTACTACTAAGAATGACCACATTAGTTGGAGTAATACTATTATTATGATAAGACACCCAGGACATACGGCCCGACACGCGGCAACGGTCGCTTTGTCCTGCATTTTAAATCTCTAATATCTATTAAGATAATCATTTTAATGATTTGCTGTAAAATGCAATTTTGATCTATACAAATAAATAAAATTGGAGTGTCTGTTTGTAATATTAAAATAACCGCTTTTTACTAAATGCATATGTATGTTTACACGGTACATATGCCAAAATAACATTTTTACAATTTTTGTCTGTCTGTCTGTCTGTTTGTTCCGGGTAATCTCTGGAACGGCTGGACCGATTTCGACGGGACTTTCACTCGCAGATAGCTGATGACATAAGGAGTAACTTAAGCTACTTTTTTTAGACTAGCTTCGTTATAACAATAAACGCGGGTAACACCGCGGGTTTCAGCTAGTCTAGTCTACAATAAATGCACAATGAAAAATTTCATCCTTCTATACCCAGTAGTCACAGATGTGTGTTGATCAAGCAGTCAGTGAATCAATCTGTCAATTTCTTCTTTATAGATAGACTAGCTGAGACCCGCGGTGTTACCCGCGTTTGTTGTTATAACCGCGGGCAACGCCGCGGGGCGAAGCTAGTCTAAAAAAAATAGCCTAGGTTACTCCTTATGTCATCAGCTATCTGCCAGTGAAAGTCCCGTCGAAATCGGTCCAGCCGTTCCAGAGATTACCCGGAACAAACAGACAGACAGACAAAAATTGTAAAAAATGTTATTTTGACATATGTACCGTGTAAACATACATATGCCTTTAGTAAAAAGCGGTTATTTTTATTTATTTGTATATTGTATAGATTCTAAACATATTTACAAAATGCGTCATACGAGTATATAAGACCTCTATTTTATTTTTGTAGCCCTGGATCCTGCTCTTGCTGGTTTCATCACCAATGATGACAAATTCGACGCAGATGATGGTATTTACACTGAAGTCATTCACACCAATGCTGGACTTCTGGGGTACATCGCCCCTCTTGGCAAAACCGACTTCTATCCAAATGGGGGTATTGATATGCCTGGATGTATGAGCCAAATGTGTGATCATCACAGGTAAGGGGGACCATCACTCTATCAGCTTATCTTGAGGCAGTTTTTTTGCTAGAGGGGGCAAACGAGCAGACAGCACACTTGATTTTAAGTGATTAGCACCACCCATGGACACATGCCATACAGCTTCCGCTTTTTGATTCCGTCTCTCCCCATTCAGAATCTACCTTACGGTAGGTGTTCGTGGACGGCAGAAGTCCCTTACCATTTCCAGCTTGCCTCCTATATCACAAAAAACCTATTAGTAAAATGATTCTTTACACAAAATTTTGTGTCAGCTTTTTTTGGTCTGGCCATCACCTAGGTACTTATTGCAATTGTTTCGTTGATGCCAATGCCAAACAACCTCATCCCTTAAACCAAGGGGTTAAGGGGGAGGGTGGGTGAATGGGGACTCAAGGGGTGGTAACGCATTTGTAACTATCAGTTGCATGGGCGACGGTAACCATTTTATTAAATTTATTTTTCTAATTATTTGACGAAACAGAGATAGTTGCTATTATGAGTGTGCTGATCTACGACGTTAGAGTCTACATAAAAGACGATTTCAAACAATTCAATTATTTTTAGAAAATAAAGATATTATGGATTTGAATGTACCATTAAGTGATACATCTGTTCGTTTGCCTCCTCTTTTAATTTAAGTCTGGATAGCGCTGATATTGTTGCTATAATACCAGAATAATATTAAATTACTCTTATACTGAACTTCCATTTTTTGTTTTAATATCAGGTCATTTCACTTCATGGCTGAATCTGTAAGACGCGGTGGCTTTAGAGGAGCCCGTTGTTCTACCTTCATCACCGCTATGGCTGGAAATTGCTTCCTCCCTGGAAACCTGAACATGGGTGGCATAGACCCTAAGACTGGGTAAGAAGAGTTCTATTCTCGAAAAAACTAAGGTTATGATTGTTTACGCTCTATTGCCGCACAAGGCAGAGATTATGAACTAGGCCTGTGTGTTTTTACTTGGAAGATAGTTTTTATAAATTCTTTGCATCAGTGTGGCAGGACACAGCAAGTTATAGATAAATTACACACATAACATAAACAGCTTTTAATAGTCCATTACTGGAATGGAGATTGCCTTAGAATGGAGATGGCCTTAGAATGGAGGTTTTGACCTACTATACCACGCTGGCCAGACGGGTTGTTACAGGGTTTGTGTCAAGTCTACCTTCTCTTGGTAGTGGTCTTCTCTTGGTCTCCTCTTGGTCTCCCTTATTCTGCTCTTACGACACCTACGGGATGAATAGGCGTGGTGACACTCCGTATTCCTAATCTGTCACCACACGGATAAATTACACCCAGACACAGCTCATGATCATGCTCATCACCCAATTATTTGTTCAGGGTGGGACTCGAACCCACGACCTCTAGTTTAGCGGTCAGGGTCCTAAACTACTAGACCAACAAGCTCGTCTGTCACAATTTACTGTAAGTATTAATAACTACATTTCTTTTTGTTCACAGACAAGTGGGAATATACCACCTGACAACAAGACCATTCCCGCCTTTCTCCCGTTCTTAAGACTTTTGTTTTTTAATTCTCAATAAAACTGAGTTAACTTTTATTCTGTTTTATCTTATTTATTTTTCCCTGACTACAGTAAATATAAGCATCATTCTAGTTACAGACCTATATGGATCTAAATGTTGGCCATAAAAAAAGGATAAAATCGCCAGTATGTAGCTGACATGCAAATGTTAAAGATGTGTAGTGGGACTAAGATGGACAAGGTAAAGAATGAAGCCATTGGAGGGAGCCTGAAAGTAGCACCAGTGGATGAAAAGTTGAGCCATAGGGTATGAAAGAGTTTTATGTATAGAAGTTGCCAGATATAAGACTAGAATTCGACCATAGAAGCTGACTGAATTGATTGCTTAAACAGTATCTGGCTCGAAAGAGATTAAGCAATGAATTGACGAGTAATAGAAAATATTGTAATCAAGAAATAAACAGTAAGCATTCCAAATGTTAAAATATTGTTGCGCCATAGGATTAAAAGGTTTGATTATATGAAATGTGGAGGACAGCGTCATCTAGTATCGATTAAAGTACATCTATTAAGATTGTGGTTAATACGAGTAGTTCTGATCCTTACAGCGCTAGATGGCGCTGCTAGTAACGCGTGACTGATTCTGCGCAATTCGTGTTGGTTTGGCACGGACTCTCGAAAACTAGGAACTTTCTAGTAAAATTCAAAAGCGCAATAAAAGCGGAACGTGTTGGCCGTTCGAGACAGTTTCGTTTTACGACACAGCGAATTAACATCGGAGTGTATTTCTAGTGCGACTAACAAGATATATAGTGATTCCTAGTAGTGAGAGTAAATACAGTGAAATAAAGTAATTAACCGACAACTTTTATTTATTATATACCCGCTCGTAACAATACGCTTCAATGAGCCTAAAAATAAACACAAAAAATTATCACTTTTTTCAACTTATCACTTGGAGTTTATGGTGCTGGCTTCTCGAGATACGATCTCGTCGGCCATGGTGTTGGTGGTCATCTGGAGTAGTCAGCAGAAACCTTGGAGGAAGAATTCCTTACATTACTTGTGAGTATACTGAGGCCTTGAATGTTGCCTGAATGTTGACTTGACCTTTACTGTTAAGCTAGAGATCGAGGGTTCTTCCACGTCAGTCGCCTTCAGAAATAAACATTAAGCATTCCAAATGTTAAAATATGCTTCAGTGAGCTTAAAAATGAACACAAAAATTTTTTTAACGTTAAAAAATTACTCGTCGGACTTACTGATTCATCACCATCATCATCACATCAACAGCCTTTAATAGTCCACTGCTGAACACAGGCCTTTCCTTAGAAAGGAGGTTTAGGCCTACTATACCACGCTGGCCAAACGGGTTTTCATCAACGCAGAGCCTAAACTGTTGGCGCTAAAAACTTATATTAAAAAAATCACTTCTAAGAGACTGAAATAAGGGATAAACAGTTGGACAGAATTTCGTAATTTACTAAGGTCTTTCTTAAGGGTTTTCGAAGACGCGGGCAATAGTAAATATGGAAATAAATGTAATTTATTATTTATTGGTGCACTTTTTTAATATTGCGGGTAGTTTGATAGTCTTAAAATAAATACAACAATATTATTCCTTATTCTATATAAAATACATTTAGTCAAATACAGGTCTCTTCCCTGCCATCGGGATAGGAGTCCTATTGAAGGTGCGCAGGTTTTTTTTCGGTTTCTGATAATAATCATATCTTTGTGGTGCGTAACTCTCATAAGAGCTGGGTTTTGGTGCTCTTATGTGTACTTTTGGTATTATTTTCTCCTTTTGAACATTGCCTCCCTCCATACTATTTTTCTTGTCTCGTAAATTTTTGAACAAAGCATAGTTGCCCCATCCAGCATTTTCTGTTTTATCTGTTCCAGTGTTATCTAAATCGCTATATTTTTTAAATTTACCATCGCTTTTCAAATCGTCGTCATCTTTTCTTTTGTTCTTATTGTCATAGTCTTTTTTATTCCAAGTTCTTTCTTTACTTCGACTGTCGTCTTTTTTATCCCAGATATCATCCTTTCTGTCCATGCGATCATCTCTTTTATTCCAACTGTCATTTTTTTTATTTCTGTTACTGGATGTTGTATCCCTATCCTCGTATTTTTTATCCATATTGTTTTGTTTACTCCAATCGTTTGATTTTAGTTTCTTATTTATTTTTGGTCTTTCATCATTATCATAGTTTTCGAAGGTATTTACATTTTTACTATTGTACGGTTTGCTCCATATACTATCTTTTTTTCTCTGGTTAATTTCTCTTTCGAATTTTGCATCACGAAATTCAGGTTTCCTTTCATCTTTATTTGGCACAATATTTCTTTTGTTTTCATCTTTTGTTTCCGTATTATCAACGTTATGAGTTTTTTGTCTTGTTCTTACCTTACTGTTTCGGTTATCGCTGAGTCTATTTTTCTTCTCTCTCCTTAGCTCATTAGGAATATTTTTGTTTATTCTACTTTCCTGCTTATTTGCTGACAATTTCAGTGTATTTTTTTCCTTTATTTCTGACGCGATTTTGAATCTTTTTTCTACGTTGACCATAACGTCTGTTTTATCTTCAGAACTCCAGTTTTGCTTTGAATTGTTTATACTTTTAAGTTCGTTTTTGCTGCGTGATTTTTTCTTAGGACTTTCCTTGGGTACAAGTATTTTGCTTAAAACATTTAAATTATTATTTGTCTTAGGTTTTCTACCTTTTTGCAGGCTGACTCTTACCGTGTATGTGTTCAATACCGGTTCTATTATAGGATTCCCTTGGTTTGAGTTATGCATGGACCTGAGTATGAAACGTTTTGTTTCTTTTGAATCCTGCGGTTCAGGAACACCTGTAACACAAGTTAGTTACACTTTAAATATTTTTAACTAATTTAATGTCAACTTGGATACCCTTTGAGACACTACTATACTTCGGCATATATATTACGAGCGGACTTGTCCTTAGTGATGCCATGGACTCACAGAAACCAGTATGGAGGAATCCTTCCGTTGCTTTGGTTGTGAGAAATCATAGAGATAATATAAGAGAGGAGCGAACTGTTTACGGTTTTTTTGGCCATTGTATTACTCCGGTCTGGCTAGCCCAAATAGCCAAAGGCATGGTTCGCCAAATCCTCAGATGGTGTACCACCGTTTTATGGCTTATCAGTCAGTTTTGTATATTATCTGAATTATCTTACAATAGTGTTCTTGGCCTGTGTTTCTTCGAATATTGTTATTTATTGGTAAGTAACCAGTGACATTATATTATTTGGATATTTTTAATTATTACCATTATAATTAAATTACTGATTCAAAATGCTAATGATATTGCATGAAATATTATTATTATTATTTACCGTGGGAGAGCCATGCTTCTCATTCCTGCCGAAGCATGGTGAGCAATTCTTTCGTTACCTTGTCCTGAGTGTGTCCCTGGGCGGTAGTTGCTTACCATCAGGTGACCCGTCTGCTCGTTTGCTACCTTATACCATAAAAAAAAACATAACTAATGACGACACAATTATGTTTTTTATTATATTTCAAAGACAATGTAATTTGTTGATAAATAAATGATTATGACTATGTTACCAGCTATGATTTTCTCAGCATCATCATTGTCAACAAAATTACTTGTGTCTAAATTAGTTTCTTTTCTGTGAAAGAAAATACCATTAATTTACGAACTGTTAAACTTAAATATATACTGCATACATCTTGGATTCATCATCATCATCATCAACAGCCTATAACAGTCCACTACTGGTCATGGGCCTCTCCTTAGAAAGGAGGTTTTAGCCTACTGTACCACCAGACGGGTTGATATGGGGTTTGTTTCAAGTTTTCCTTCTCTTTGCAGTGCTGTTGTCCTGCGTAGTTTGCTCCCTTAGTCGCTTCTTACGACACCCACGGGATAAATCGGGATGGTGATTTTTATTCTTAATCCGTCACCACACGGATTTATTATCTTGGATTATTTCGTAAAAAAAAATAACCATTCTCATTAAAAATGTTGTGCCTCGCACAACTAATTTGTGTAACAAATCGACTGGTAGATAATGCCTTGTGGCATTAAATCTAGCTCGTTCAATGGGAATACAGTTAAATAAAAAAATTGTCGTCAGAGTTATTTTCGATATGAAGCAAAGATAGACTCCCAAACACAAACCTTCTTCTAAAGTGTTTCCTAAACCTTTTCAGTCGTTGAGATGATTTTTTACTGTTGTTTACTGTTGATTCTTCAATAGACGAACCTGTAAGTTTAAGTCAAACTATATTCTTCTTTCGGGTACTCGTTTTGAGGGCAATTAAATAGATCTGATAGTAAGTGATTACCGCCGCCCATGGAAACCCGAGACTCAAGCTATAGAAGTGATTTGCAGCTCCTTGGAATACTCCTACCTCATAGGTTAGTGTTTTAGTGTTGGGGCTCCAGTAATCTCAATTAAAGGTTGAAAGAAAAGCCTGCTCGAATTGCTTAGCACTGATTTTCTGTGAAGCCAATGTGATCACTCAATTTAAAAAAAAACAGAGACAGTCATAAGGACTAACGACAGAAGTGAAAATTCTAAAAAAATTTAACTATACGACACTAGTCTGGTGAAATACGTCACGAGCATGTCGATGTCATCCAGTAAGTTTTCCCCTAACCAACAATCGCTCTACGCGGCTAAAATTTCTTAAGTGGTATTTATACTTATTAATCAATTAATCCTCCCTTACCCCTAATTGGGGAGGGGGAGGTTTTAAAAGGACAGCAAAGTACTGGTGTCTCTTATTCAGGTTAGTATCCGATGTTCAAGGGCGGTGGTTACCATCTTATCATCAGGTGAACTATCTGCTCGTTTGAGCCACAAAGAAGTTAATACTTACTTTCAGTAGTAATTTCGCCATTAATGATATCTCGAATTTCAGAACGCTCCTTGGGCAGTTTCTTGTAATCTTCTAGAACTTCAGGATTACTGATATATTGTATATTGGCCCCATCTATGAAGTCATTGGATTTCCTATACGTGTCAAATGTCTTATGAAGAAGTTTCATTGAATCAAGTAAGTTCGCATCATCTGCATCTGCGTTGGAAATCACATTATCTTGAACGTCATCAGTAATGGCAATCGGGGAATCAGTACGCTCAAGTGGAAGAGGGCCGGTCATATCTCCAGGAGGACTGATAGTCGTTAAAGATGACATGTGCTATAGTGGAGACCGTGATAAGGTTAACGTAGTAAAGCTACCAGAAATGGATGGAGGCCTTCGTCCAGCAGTAGACGGCGATAGTCTAATGATGAATATACCATCAAGTGAAAAATAACTACGCAGAACAACAGCACTGCAGATGGAAGTAAAACTTGACACCAACCCTATACCAACGCGTCTGGCCAGCGTGGTATATTAGGCCAATACCTACTTTCTAAGGAGATGCTTATGTCCAGCAGTGGACTGTTAAAGGCTGTTGATGTGTGATGTGACCGGTCTGCTTGTATCCTTAGTATTATTTTAGTTACCTTCTTTTTTATCTTCATCATAGGACCTTGATATATATAAGACTTTAAAACTATCAGCGTTATTAACGAGGTTTATTAACTTGGCAGTATCTGCTGCTCTCTCGTCGGCATCAAACCTTGTAGGATCCCAAAGAAAGACCCCTTTTACACAATATGCTGGAAAACATAAAAACTGTGAGACTTAAAAATAATTAGAAGGAATGTGGCTGATGTATGACGCCAGAACTGTAGATTCAAGTATGAAAATACTTTTTTATACAACTTATTAACTCGTGGCTAAGAGGTAATCGAGTTAGTTAATACATTACGTTGTGCGTGTCGTAAGAGCCGACTAAGGAAGCAAACTACGCAGGACAACAGCACTGCAAAGAGAAGGAAAACTTGAAACAAACCCTATACCAACCTGTCTGGCCAGCGTGGTATTGTAGGACAAAACCTTCTTTATAAAGGACTATTAAAGGCTTTTGATGTGATGATGACAGAATAAATCAAACACAATTATTATTAGCAAAGTATCCCAAAGAATGTATAATATTAGACGACTAAACAAAATACTCACCCAACAAATACGAAAGAAATAAATTCATTTCACAACAAAACATTATCCATCAAAAGCGTTAATAAATTTTATTTTTTCTTCATTTTCTCAAAGTTCAGATTGAAATCATACCGTACAAAAACAGCATAAATACTTCGTTAACCTTTTTTGGTAATCTTGGTTTTCCGTTAACATTTAGAATGTTCACGAATTCCACAAATATCTTAGGATTAAAATCCTTTTTAAAGTTGAACCGACTTTTAACAATACTAATAAAGAGCACTAAAAACCTAGCAGCAATCGCGATTGATTTGCTGTCATTTTTTGAAGAGTTCCATTGCCTGTCTCCGAAACTCATCATCAGATCTTTATGAAATTTAAATGGGACCATTTTCGAATAAACCTTGTCAAACAAAAAAAAGAATCTATAAAATTCGTTTATATATGACGGAGTTATGTCAGAACATACATAAACAAATATTTATAAACATCCGAATAGGTAACCCTATTCATCCCGTGGTTATCGTAAGAGGCGACTAAGGGAGCAAAGTACGCAGGACAACAGCACTGCAGAGGGAAGGAAAACTTGATACAAACCCTATACCAACCCGTCTGGCCAGCGTGGTGTAGTAGGCCAAAACCTCCTTTCTAAGGAGAGGCCTATGTCCAGCAGTAGACTAGTAAAGGCTGTTGATGATGATGAAGAATAGGTAACCTCCTCCTTTTTGAAGTCGGTTACAAATAAGAAGAAATAAAGAAACTAGCAAGACCTACAATAGTTGCATTTGTTGAATAATATCTGACATCTCTCCCACTATCTGACGAATAACTTAAGTATTGCGCGCTCATAGACTGCCTCGGTAGTGCAGTAGTAACATATGCAACTGCTGTGCTGAGGTGTCGGACCAAATGTTTGTGTAATCTGTAAATATTTGTTTCGAAGTTGGGGTGTTTTCTATGTATAATATGTATGTTATTTAAAAAAAAGTCTATAAGTATATTATCAGTCAATCTAGCTTTCATTGTACAAGCTCTGCTTAGTTTGAAACTAAATGGCGTTGTGTGTCATTTGTCAGAGAAATGTAATTTATTGGTCAAATCAAACAGCGCCCGCTTTCATTGATTTGAATTGATTGATTTACACATTTCCGACCCTGCTTACGAAAACACTCGCACAGATTACAGGACAGACAGAGAAAAGATTTTATACACAGATAGTTTTTTTAATTTTGTGATTTCCTTGAAGTACCAAATTGTATAAACCTTCAAACTTACTACAATTTTAGTCTCAGTTAGGGTTCGAGAAGTTAGAGGGGATAATTTTGAGCATTTTGCAAACCAAAAAATGTTTGGGAATCAAACCGACTAAAACCACACAGTGTGCCACTCCACGCCTGAGATAGGAGGGGTCCGGGAACAGCTGATATTAAGACATCCGTAGCCAAAGCAGTCCGGTTATCATAGTACAGGCTGGGCCTAGTTCAATATCATACGGCCTTGTGTAAAATGTGTCATTTCATAAAATCATACATTCCAGAATTGGTAGAAAAATCGAATAATAAAACACTTCGATTGTTGTGTTATGGTATTACTTTAATCAATTACCTGATGATAACCGAAGCAAAACAAACATTATCGAAGCTAAAAAACATTCTGATCAATAATGGTTTTTTGAGAAATGTGTTTATTTCTTCTATATTTGGTCGGTGAGTACTTCGTTATAACTTTTTTTCCTTGGAGGTTGATGAACTATTTATTGTAATTATATATCATGCGGTTAATCAGGGTGAGCAGAGCGAGCCCTAACACTATCCTACAATCTATGCATTTTGGTGGTACACTTTACTGAGAAACTGTTACACTTTCAGGTTTGGGCTTATGCGTGGTTATTTCAATTCATGTGCAGATGTGTTATCTATCATAAAAATATTTTTTTATACATATTTTAAAACCAATAAGACATGACGTGTAATACTTTATTAATTGGACTGTTAATACTAACGCCTGTCTGTTAGAAAACTAAAGAATTAGTATGGATGTATTACGTACGATTTTTTTGGTTAAACATAAATTAATAAATTAGTAATCAATCGCAAAACCTTCGCAAACCCTCCTAAAGCATCGCTTCTGGCTAGTATTATAAAAAAAAGCTGGTATAATGTAATTATTTTAATGCGTAAAGTTGAGACCGCGATTAAGCAAATAATGCAGTGTAGGGCGTCCTATGGCATGATGGACCGACGACTTGAGAAAAGTGAACTGCCCAAGATAGTTAGCGCTCTTTGGGGAGGCCTTCGTGCAGTAGTGAATGATGAACATACACATTCACCAATTTACCCACATTCCTCCATGAGACCAAATATGAACTCTTAAAGCGCGATCGTTGTAGAATTTCATTATCCCATGCATCGTTCGAGCTCATCCCAAATATGACGTACAGGATTGAGATCCGGTCTTCGTGCTGGCTACTCCAAACTGTTAATCTTCAGCTCTTGAAGTAAGATAGGATTCAGTGCTCTAAAGTATATGAGGAAGAAATCTGTCAATCAATTTTAGAAAATAGTTATCTCGTGTGGTGACTGACATACAGCTTTTTCTGTTTCAGCATATGCCATAACCGAGGTAGATCTCTGGGATCCAACAGATTATCGGGTACACGATAGAGCAGCTGAAATAGCTAAATTTATTGATCTGGTTCAAAAGACTGATAATTTTGAAGTTAAGTATCCCATTAAAGCAAATGATGGCGGTGATGAAAATAAAGGTAAGCAATGAGTTATACGATATAAAAAAGAGTATCTGTAAAATTAATATCAAACAATAATTTGAATCGCAATTTAAGTCGCAAAATAATTCGTTTAAAATCAGTTTTCTAATCAGCGTGAGAGAGTCTTGAGAGAGAGAAATTGAGTCTGACTGCACGGATGGCGTAGTGGTTTAAGCGGTCGTCAAGCCGTTTACTACTACGCTGAGTACTTTGTGTGATCCACAAATTGTTGTTCTGAGTCTGGGTGTCCTTTGTGTCCGTTTCATATATGTTTGTAAAGTCCCCCGCGACACAGGATATATTCCTATTGCGGGAGTTGTCTTTTAAAAAGAAAAGACGAAAAAGAATAGAGTATCAGAGCATAATGTGGAGACGCGTCGCCACGTCAATCGCTCCCACATTAGATTTTTTAAATCAGAACCCTTTAACAGGTCTGTTGGTCGTGTGGTGACTTTCACATATAGTGATACAAAACATACAACAGTACGTATAATGTCTAAAGAAAACACACCAAACTGCGGAGTAACTATAAATCCTACATAACCAGAATAGCAAAGCCTTACAGCAAACTTTCTCGTTTCTTAGATTTGGTCATTTTTGGAAAAAGATTGTCTAATTTTAAGAAAAAAATCACGGATTATCTTAAGTCTAAACTTGGGTATGCAAAAGTTCACAGAAGTTTGCATTTGAATAGTCCGTGATATGTGGTGGTAAGCCGTTAAGGAATTCCATTGATCATTATATTCGACTACGACATTCCGTTACTGTCCATTACTGTCCCTGTGGTGATGGATTATGAATACAGAATGTCACCACCTCTTTTCATCCCATGGGTGTCGTAAGAGTCGACTGAGGGCGCAAACTACGCAGGACAACAGAACCGCAAAGAGAAGGAAAAGCGTGGTATAGTAGGCCAAAACCTCTTTTCTAAGGAGAGGCCTATGTCCAGCAAAGGACTAGTAAAGGCTGTTGATTACAACAACTACATGACCATAACGACGATACTGTAAGTGACTCAAATATCCGGATAGCCTATAAAAGATTCCGAGTATCGTTAATTTGCTCCTAAGAATTGAAGAGTTCTGTTACTTTGTTGTGGATCCCATGATCAGAATCTAACCAAACTCTCATTAAAGTACCCTTAAAGTACATCCATTCCAATAAAAAAAGAATTACCGAAATCGGTTGGCGTGATATTGAGTTATTCGTCTGTTTGTCGCGAACATACTGAATGCAAATTTAAGACTCATATGGTTTTCTCATGGATGCCATTAGCAGAACTGAACCAAATTAAAATGGGACTACACGGGAAGCACTAGCTTTCAAATAAAAAAAACATCATCAAAATCGGTTCACCTAGTCAAAAGTTCTAAGGTAACAAACTTAAAAAAAAAAACAAAATACAGTCGAATTGAGAACCTCCTCAATTCCAGTCGGTTAAAAATTAACAATTAACTTTTATAATATGTACAGATGCGGCTAATTTCGATGTTTTTAACACTTTGAGACTACTTAAAAAGAACTACGATATCAGCAGAAAATTTAACGATTACGGTGGTCCTCATGAACTGCATATTAGTAACCCTGAAGTTTTAAATGCTTACAAAGAAGGAAATATCCCCGAACCACGTTCTGAAGTGTATGATGATCTCACCGATCAGACTTTTGACCTAAGTAAGTATCTAAATAGTGTATATACCCACGCCTCTGTCCCTGAATGGGTAAGTGGAGGCGCATTAAAAGGCCCAAACCTGCCGTGTCACTAACGTTAGTAGTAAAGTAGCGTGCAATGAGAGTCATATCTCCAGCTGTGGACTGCGATAGGCTGATGATGATAATGAAGCATGGTACATAGTCCAGGTCCTCCCCAGAGTAGAGCGCCTAAGTCCGGCGGGTGGTCAGGTAAGCAGGGGAGGTAATGATAGGAAAGGGATATTAGTGATACGGATTGTTCGACTATAGATCGTATTGTTCGATTGTAGATCAGGGTTTCATACCTGATACTCAACCTAGATTTTGCCTTAGGCCTTTAACTTGAAGTATGACATCAGCATTATCATTGTCTTCCTACCCTGTAAGTCAGCGCAATACATAAATACTAATTTCTTCTGTGAGCAGTGGTCTACTTGACACCAACTCTATGTAGGAATATGATTATTTTCACCTGGAACAAAGACAGAAGATATATTAATATTTCTGCGAGGCGTTTCAACCAATATTTTGTTGATTTTCACTAAAGTCATCGGCAGCCCAATCCTCCCCTAATCGAGAGGGTGAGTTGCTCAAAGGGCCGCACTTGTGACTCTTAAGTTGTTGATGTCTATTGGGAGGATTAGTTACCATCAGTTAACCCGTCAACTCATTTGCCTCTATATCCAAAATAACTGGAGCAAAGCAAATCGATAGGGCGACTGAGATAGAATAAGGGATATCGCAAATCTCGAATAGGTGACGGGACTGAGACTGCAGGAGCTCGAAGACAACAGGATCGTAGAAGCTACTAGGAGAGTTGGACGTCATCAACTGTACCCATAACCATATATTAGATTGCACGGATGTCGTAGTGGTTTAAACGAAAACCTCGCTGTTTCCTGCTGCGCTGAGTGTTGTGGCTTTGATCACTGATTGGTACCATACTTTGTGTGATTCACAAGTTGTTGTTCTGAGTCTAATTGTTCTTTGTGTACGTTTGAATGAATATTTGTTAAGTATTATATTTTATACTCACTGACTCATATATCAAAGGATATATTCTCATTGCGGGAGTTGTTTTGTTAAAGTTCAACAAAAGATTTTTGTTAGAGGTAAAACTTACGAGTTCGCTTCACCGATGACTTCGACATAACGTATTGGGGCAGACTAGCGACGCATAGTTCCATTATTTTGAGTTTCACTTCGCCTCTGTTTTTTTTTAAATTTCGATATTTTTAGGGTTTCGTACCTCAAAAGGTAAAAAGGAACCCTTATAAGATCACTTTCATGTCCGTCTGTCCGTCTGTCCGAGTGTCACCACCGATTTTCTCAGGAACGGGTAGACCTAGCAAGTTGAAATTTATACCATATACTAAAATCTTTAGTCCCTATTAGGTGTATAGAAATTAAGGTCCTGAGTCATCACGATAAAAAGATATGGGCAAAGGGGAATGCCCATTTTCGGCCATGAAACGCCCAACAATTTGCTTTTGTTAGAAAAAACTATCTTATTTTCTGTTTATTAATTGGGGTATTCATTTATACTGACAGGTCTGCAACATTTAAACAGAAAATAAAAGTACCGAAAAGATAAAAGTGAAATTACGTTAATCCGGATTTCATTGGTTTCTGGCAAAATATTAAGTGTTCCCAATTACTAATTTTACTATTTTTTGGACTGACATTATTATTTATTTTAATATTACTTGAAACTAATTGCACAAAACATCTTATAAATTCTACTTTTAAAACAAACAAAATAAATAAGCAAAATGGCGGTTTGTGTCAGCGCTACTGAAGGTAGCAAACGTGTCCTGGCCGAAAACTGTGTCAGCGCCAGTAAGCGCTCGTAAGCGCTTCTTAGCGCTATTTTCTGCCAAACACAGTCATTATTTTATAGCTATATTATTCGATTTTCGGTAATTTTTATGATTTTATTATGTTAGTGCTAATATTATTTATTTATTTATTTTAATAGAGCTAGGGCAGACTTTAGAAATATAAACGTAGGCTCCGAAAATGTTAGGGGATTTCCTATTTTAACTTACAGCGACTTAGTACTAATTGCTTGTGGTACATACCAGTTAAAGCAAGCTCGCTCCTATTATGGTGAGCATATAAGAGCTAATGGTTGCTACATCATAGAAGTATGCAATGACCATAGGAGCAGCATTATGGAAGGAATACACCTTAGTCCTAACTGCTCTTTACCTAGGGCTATAATCGCAAGTCGACACATCAGTCGAAAAATATATTTTATATATATTTTAATTAGTGGCAATGATTCTGGCAGAAGTGCAATTAAAAAGTATTGTTGTAACTGTACTGGTCGTCGAACGGTAGGATGTTGTGCCCATATAATGACAGTAATATGGTATTTGGGTTGGGCACGACATCAAACAAATATTTTTTCTCCGGCTCAATTCCTGGATGATGTACTAATTGTGTATGACACAAATGATGTATGATCATAAAATACCTAACAACTACATATAACTTGATATTGTATGTGAGAATAACAATAAAATGATGAATAAGAAAAAAAACTGTAGTTATTTCTGAAAATTAAAATCATTTTATATCTTAAAAATCCCGACTTTTTTTAATACCAATTCCTTAATCATTTCATACTTTAAATTGTATATTATCGTTTCCATATGCTTTTATATGTGTGCACCTAGGGCCAAAGTGTCTATGGGTAGTGGGCATTCCCCTTTCGATTTTCGCGAAAACTTGTAAGTACCAAAATTTACCTTAATTTTGAACTTTTTTTATTTTTCAGAATTTTCTCTTTGTTTGTGCTGTATGACCTTGATTTAAAGAAAAATGGACAATTCTAGGTCAACCGGAAGTACTCTATAGGTTTTGGGTCGAAAACCTATATGGTAGTTCCCGTTGACCTAGAATCACGAAACTTGGCAAAAAGAAACGTCTTACAACAAAAATAAAGAAATATTTTCAAAAAAAAAAAGTTGATAAATTAAGATAAATTACAACTTACAAATTTTCGCGAAATCTACGTAAAATCTGGGTAGGTACGGAACCCTCGGCGCACGAGTTCGACTCGTACATGACCCGGGTTTTTTATCAAAGTCTTAAATTTGACAATTGTTTCAATGTGGCTAATTTCAGAAGCGTATCGGCATGATCTGGAACGTACTGGCAAAATTACAATGCATGAATTGCCAAGATCGCAAAGAAAATACAACAGAAACAGGTAATTGTTCATAGCTATGTTATATATATATATATATATGTTGGCCTGTTGGTGTAGTGGTTATGGACCCTGACTGCCAAACCGAGGGTCTTGGGTTCGATTCCCATCCAGGATAAATGATTGTGTAATTAGTATATAATTTATTTTCCTATATGTATGTATTTAGAAATATATAAGTATGTTTGTCAATAGTTTGGTTACTATATCACAGGTTCTGCCTAGTTTGGGATCCAACTGCCATGTGTTTTTTTTTATGGAAGAGGGGGCAAACGAGCAGACGGGTAACCACCGCCCATGAACGCCTGCAGCTCAGGAGGCACAAGCACGTTTCCGGCCTTTGAAAAAGGAGAACGCTCTTTTCTTGAAGGTTTGAAGGTCGTATCGTTGGTTCTGTGTGTGATTTTTAATTAACTTATAAATTACTTACTGCGAGAGCCAAGTTTAGGCACAAATGAGCCAGCACCACCGGAGTGAAACCGCTGCCTCACAGAAAACTGGTGTTGAGCAATTCTTTCGTTTGATTTCCACTGAGTAAGTGAAGTTACCGAAGGCCTAACCTCTTACCTCCTAACTTTAAGAAAGGGGGCACTCATTGGATGGCAACGCACTTGTGTCTCTTAAATTACAAATCTCCATAAGCGGCGGTTGTTACTGACCATTAGGCATCCCCGTCTGCTCATTTGTGCTGTGTAATATTAAAAAAAACTCAATTATTTAAACTGGTTGCCTCAGTGGTGCAGTAGTAGCGTATGCGACTGCTGTGATGACGTCTCGGGTTCGATTCCCAATTCGGAACAAATGTTTGTATAATCTGCAAATATTAGTTTCGAAGTTTCGGTGTTTTCTATGTATAATAAGTATATATTTATAAAAAAAGGTATATAAGTATTCTATCAGTCACTCTATCTTTTATAGTACAAGATCTGCTTAGGTTAAAACTAGATGGCATTGCTTATAAGACGTCCGAAATATTATTATTATTTGGTTCACAGAGCAGAAATGAATTTAGAAATGGATTACAGCGATAGTTCTGATGAAACCGATACTTCAGAAGAGGATGATGTTAGTGAAGAAGTAGAGAAAGACGACGAAAAGAGAAATAGCGAAGAACATCGTAAGATATTTTAAGAAATAAAACATACTTAGAGACGACTGAATCAGGTCATTTCACAAAAATCTTATTATTATAATACTTTTCTTGGACTTAATCTATTCCAATATTATAAAGAGGTAAAATTTGTTTGTATGTAGGGGGTAATATACTACATACTATGTAGCTGATTTATCACTAAATGCTACAAATTTTATTCATATCTTCTATATTAGCGGGCAACAGCTAGTGCTGTATAAACATTTATAATAGTCCACGCAATGAGCTATGTATTTATAATTATTTGGTGGTTTAACACGTTCATTGGGCAACCAAATTTGCAAGTTTCTGAAGATGGACAACTATCGCGAGAATCCAGTGGCCCGAAAGTTGAATCTTTTCATTAGAGATGAAACAAATTTGCGATAATACAATGGCTCACGTAATACTTTTTACAAAAAATACTATGGACAATTCGCACGACTTCCAGTGATAACCAGATGGAAGCACACTGCGACGTCACGCGTTTTTAATTCAACTCGCGCACTAGGAATATATTGTGTGTAGCGGCGGATTTTACAAACATACGTGTAACGGACACAAAGAACATACAAACTCAGAACAACAATTTCTGGATCAAAGACAGTGTTTTCAATTGGCTCATCATCAACAACCTTTAATAGTCCACTGCTGGACATAGGCCTCGCCTTAGAAAGGAAGTTTTGGCTTACTATATCACGGTGGCCGGACGGGTTGGTATAGAGGTTGTGTTAAGTTTTCCTTCTGTTTACAGTACTGTTATTCTGCCTAGATAGCTCCCTTAGTCGGTTTTTACGACATCCACAGAATTAATAGGGGTGGTGATACTCCGTATTCTTAATCCGTCACCAAACAGATACATCATTTGGTTATGAACGTGTTAAGAAATTACACATTACACAATTTAAATATCATTTTCTTTACTTGTTCTACTTTCTAAATTGTTTTTTAAGATACTTAAAAAGATTTAAGCATCTTTAACAACAATTTCCTGTTCTAGAGCTTACAAACTTAAGTTTTAATAAAATACAAATATGTTATTGTTTATTTTATATTTAGACAAGACTTTAGTGGAAATTAAAGACCTTAAATTGAGCTTAATGCAAATATTAGATTTACTTAAACCTGTTGTAGGACAGACGCAGACGGATACAGTAGATGGTGGTCAAGAAACAGATACCGAATTCAAAAATCAAGTGAATAAGCATGTTTTAGGAGAAAATCCTTTACCTAAACCGGAGAATACAAGTAAAAAACCACCAATTAACCATATAGATACAAAATTATTTCAAACATATTCTAAAATCGAAAAACTTGAAAAACAGCTCAGTAAATTGATTTTATCAAGTAATGAAAATGAACAAACTGACAACCCGATAGAAGGTAAACTGTATAATACTAATGAAAATAATAGTAAAACAGATATAGACGAAAAAAGGAAATTAGATGACAAAACAGACAATGATCAGCATAAAAAAAATGCTAGGCCAAGTAAAACCGATTACCTATTATTTAAAAACGAAGATGACAGAGAAGAAACAATGGAAGAAAGCAGTGAGTTTGAGAAGAAAAATGATTCAAATAAAAAAGGTAGATGGAACAAAGAGGTTAAAAGTTGGGAAAATGAAAAAGACAGCCTTAGAAAAATAGATGAAAATAAAAAAGATATCAGGTGGAACAGCAGAGCTAATAGTTATGGACACGAAAAGGATGACAACGATAACATGAGCAAAAAAGACGAAAATTTCAATAATAAAAAAGTAAGATGGAACGATAAAGATAACAATTTGAATAAAAAAGATGATTATGATAAAACGATCTACGATTGGCATGAAAAACGGGATACGAGGAATAAAAAAAATTATTCTAATAAAAGTGATGAGAGATGGGGCAAAACAGATAATTTTAATAAAAAATATGAAAACTGGAAAGAAACAGACGCTCCTAATAAAAGAGACAGTAATCGGAATAAGAAAGCTGATAGCTGGAATGATCAAAATGATAGGTTAAATAAACAAGATGACAACTGGAAGAAGAAAGATAACAACTGGAATGAAAAAGAAGATAGCAGAGGTAATAATGATGACAACATGCAAGAGAAAAATGAATGGTATAAGAAACACCACAGTGAAAATAAAAGAGAGGGTAGCTCGAATAAAAAAGATAACAGCTGGAATAAGAAAGACGACAGAAATGAAAGTTGGAATAAAAAAGATAACAACTGGAATAAGAAAGATGACAGAGATGACAGTTGGAATATGAAAGACGTCAGTAATAATAAAGATGATGACAGTTGGAGTAAAAAAGATAACAGCTGGAATAAGAAAGATGACAGAGGTGGCAGTTGGAACAAGAAATTCAACAGTAAGAATAAAGACGATGACGATTGGAGTAAAAAAGATAACAGCTTTAATAAAAAAGATGACAGAGACGACAGTTGGAGTAAGAAAGACGGCAGTAAGAATAAAGACGATGACAGTTGGAGTAAAAAAGATAACAACTATAATAAAAAAGATGATGGTTGGAACAAGAAAACTGACAGCTGGAAGAAGAAAGAAGAGAGCTGGAATAGGAAAGAACATAACTGGACTAAACGGGATAAACATGCATATAATGATAGAGAACACAACGATTGGAATGTAAAAGACGACAATTTCGAATCAAAAAGATATAAAAAGAAAACTGATTGGGATGAAAAAGAGAACAAAGAGAATTTGAAAACAGAAATTCTAAATAAAAAAAGTACATGGGATAGTGTCGAAAGAAATGAAAAAGTAGAATGGGGCAACTATGCATTGTTCAAACACTTAAAAGATAAGAAGAACAGTAACGAGAAATATTATAAAGAACAAGAGAACAGAAAAGCACCAATAGTAGATATGAAACCATCAAGATATAACTCCAGGGAGCATTTTGCTCCAAGAAGAGACCAGAGTTATAGGAAACCAAAAAATCTAGGATTTTTATCTGCGAGAACACCCATCCCTTTTGTTGGAAGGAGGCCGGTATTCGACTAAAGATTATTTTAGTTTAGTTAATTACCTAATAATAGTATTACTAAGTATACAATTAATTTTATTTTATGGCAAAACTATGAAAATATACAGAGTGATACATACCTGAACTTTTGAGAGGGGAGGGTCTTTGTCTTTTTGTATTGGGACTTATCCCACCCACACGCCCATCACTGTAATTCCTGTACACCAGGATCCACAGCAGTGACCCACGAATTGCGGAATGCCCAAGACCACGGTAGTTAATGGGGGGTTTCGTTCCTTGGGGGAGGCCTTCGTTTAGCAATAGGCTGATGATGATGATGAAGGCTATGTAAAGAGAATAAATATTGATAAGTCTACCGTGGGAGAGTCATGCGGAGGAACAACTAGGCCGGCTTTGTTCGAGTAATATCTTCGCTTCAACTCGCTCGCGACTGCAGTAGATGTGAAATAAACCAGCACGTGGGCCTCAGGGGTTAAGTAATTCTTTCTTGGATTTCCACCGAGTGAGTGAGGTAATCGTAGGGTATCGGGGGTCCATCCTAGGGACGGGACTTACTCGAGGAGTTGGGGGGTTAGCATTCAAAGGCGGTAACGTATTTGTCTAGAGTTGTACTCACTTTTCACCAGGTACTCGTTTCGCCTTGTATCATAAAAAAAAAAAACAATTTTGTTCAAGTACTTAAATTCTTTTAGTGTTGGATAGATAGAAAAATACTATATTCGATTTAATATTATGCTACGATCAATGCGAGCCCATCATGAACTAAACAATTATAGTTTAAAAAAAAACGTGTGCGTCTCGGGACGCCCGACAGAAGTGATAACTTAAACTAATCTAAGTTGAACTATTTAATATTGAAATTGTTTAACTTGAGAAAAGCTTAGGTTATTACTTAAATTTTATGTAAAGCGTCTGTCCGTAATACGGCTAGCACTTTGGGTTAGAGTGAGAGAGGAGGAGCCTGCCTACAGCTGCCGTATGCGTGAGAGAAAGGGAAGCCCAACTGGCGCCGTAACGCGTTACGTAACGAAGCGGTTTACTCTCTCATAAGAAGTTATCACCTCAAAAACTAAAAAGCACGCTTTTGTGACTAGACGAATATTGTAATTGACAGATATTTTATAAAATTTTATAAAAAATTTTTTATACTGAACTAAGAAATTATTTTATACTGTTTGGTTCGTCTAGGTACAAAAGCGTATTTTAAGGTTTTGTGCTTTTTTAGTCATTAATGATGATTCTTTTCTCATTAAGATTAAAAAATTAACAAGTAAGTGACATATGCTTCAGCACACGCCTCTAAGGCCGAGGAGATTTGGAAATAACAAAATCTGATTGTTTAATTTCAAACACATGCCTAAGGCCCGGCTTCCACCAAAACAGAGAGGACAGGAGACGAGAGAGGATATGTGTTTTGAATAACCAATTAGAGTTCGTTATTTCCACATCTCCACTCCGCCTCACTTCGGTGGAAATGGATCAAGCGGAGAGGAGAGGAGTAAGCAGCGCGGCAGAGCGGGGTAAGTGTGTAGTTGGCGGCCGGGCGGCGCAGCGGTTCCACGCTGCATTCTCCCAACAAACTCTTGAAATAGTGTGGCATATTCGCCATGTCTGTGAAATTTTATATAGTTTCTCATCCAAAATTTATGTTGCCGTCGATAATTTAAATATTGAAGTAACAAACAAATTAAGATATAACTTTTGTAGGATATGACGTCTTCCTTTCGTAGACAGCACTTGACTAGTTTCGAGCTCTCACAGCTCACATCTCTCCACCATGCATCTCCTCTCTTGATGGAAATAACCTGTCAGCTGTAGCATAAGAAACTACCGTATCTTTAGATATGGAAAAAGCTCTGAAGATCGTGTTTTTTTATGGTATAAGGCCGCCGCACATAGAAACCTGCAACTCAAAAGTCACGAGTGATTTGGGCAAGGGATTTGGGCTCCGGTAACCTCACTCACTCAGTGAAAGGCAACGAAAGTATTCAGGAAAATCGCCAAATTTATCAAATTATTTTATTGTTATCGGTCCTTGAAAAGTGTACGATGTTTCAATTTAATTTGACGTTTTGAAGTGTTTCAAAATCACGTTCGAAGATTCCGTTACATACATACATACCAAGCTAATAAAAGTGTGTGAAAAAGGCGATATTATAATGTTACACTACGACCAATGGGAGGATCATCAACTCAAAATGTTGTAAAAATGGGTAAAATTATTCCTTCTAAAAGACGCAGACACTGTTGGCGCAGATCAGTTAGTGTTCAAACTGTAGAAGAAGTACATAAAGCTAACATTGCTGAACAATATGTACTATAAAGTTAAAATGTATGTTAAAACGGCTACATAACTCTTTTGTATTTATTTATTGAGTCTTCCTGCAAACATATTGCATACGGCGGACTTAATGCCTCAGGCATTTTCTTCCAGTCAAACCTTTGGGTGTTGCAAAGCTGTGTGTGGTAGGTGTATATTTGGGACAAGTAAAGATGAGACTGAATTAAGAAATGTCACAAAGGCAGAAAAGAAAAATCCTACAGATATATAAGTACTAGGTATACTGGGTCTACCAATAGGGATGACCTGGTTTTGACAGCTCATAGCGGCCATGTTTGATGATGGATCTTTGACGTCTCTTGACATTTGTGTTCGTAAGGTTTGCCATTTTATCATGTCACGTTTCACTTTAAACCAACGCTTGGAAATTGTCCAAAATTTCTTTGAAAGTGGCGAAGGAAATCCTGTTACTGTGAATAACCGAATATTTCTTTCCGGAATTTGATGATATTGATGCAGACGACCTTTATTTTCAACAAGACGGTGCACCACCTCACATTACTCGAGTGAACATGGAATTATTGCGTGGAAAGTTTGGTGAGTCGTTAATTTCGAGAAATGGACCGATCAGTTGGCCACCAGGAGCGTGTGATTTAACACCTTTAGACTATTTTCTTTGAGGTTACGTTAAATCTAAAGTGTACAGCAATAATCCAGCTACAATTCGTGACCTAAAAACTAACATTCGACGAGCCATAGCCGACATACCGTCTGCAAAAAGAGCCGCGGCGGTCATTTGGCCGATATATTATTTAAAACATAAATTGCATAAAATTATCTATCAAATAAATCAATAGGATGCATTTTTCATGAAAAATTGTGTGTTTTATTCAATTTTTAAACCAGGACGTTTTTATTGGTAGACCCCATACATACATATAGTTTATACATATAAATATCATAATAAATGACAAAATATATATATTACAAATATTTGTTATAAATATACTCTTAAGGTGTTAGAATATGACCTGTCATGGGACAAAAGTGTGTCACACACACACTTTTGTCCCATGACAGGTCATATTCTGTGTGTGCACCTTAAGTTAGACTGGTTCATGAAATAAAATAAAATATATAATACGCTTTAATTCGACCACCACACGATCTCTAGTAAAATAGAGATAGCCAGACTATGAGTAAATAAATAAATAATAATAAATATTTTGGACATCGGACACAACGCCATCTAGTTTCAAACTACGCAGAGCTTGTACTATGAAAGTTAGATTGCCTAAGGGGTCATCCATTAATCATGTGTTGTTTTTTATGGTGTAGAAAAGAAAATGGTGTAAAAAATTGCTTATACGTAGGTCTGGGTCGTAACTGGGACTGTTTGTTACGGGGAAGTCTGATCCTCTAACCAATGTTTTTTAAAGCAACTTTCAAACTAGGAATATATCTTGTCCCAGGACTTCACAAACATATATAAAACGAACACAAAGAATAACCAGATCTATGTGGGGGTCGAACAACACTCAGCGAAGCGGTAAGATGACCGCTTGAACTACTATCTGTGCGGTCAAAGTCATCAGTTTTTTGTCATAAACATAATACAAACTAATAAATATTAAGAATATTTAATTGTCTATTAAATACTCAATACTTTATAGCTTCCCTAATGTGAATAACATAGGTGATAACAATTCAAGCGGCAACAATTATGGACCCTGTGGGGCGCAGCACAGTTTGTTTGGGAGAGAGGAAGATAACACAACCACATATACAGTAGAATATATATAAAAAATACAAATATATAATATTAATATTAAAAACAATTTTTTTCATTTATTTAGCATTCTTAATTACGAGATTTTTAGGTATCTTCGTGCGGGATTCATTGCTTTCAAGTTTATTGCCAGTTCAAAATAGAATGTTTTGCATTACATGAAAGCTGAAGGCCAAACTTTTACAATTTTTGTTACTTTATAGAATTCTGTATCCTGAATTTAATTTCTAAAGGTGCTTATAGACTTGAGCGTACCCTAGCAATGAACAGCGAGCATTCGTCCTTTTTAAATTAGGTAACCCAAACTCTCTTTATTTCATAAAAAAAATAAAATTGTTTGAAATCGTCTTTTAAGTAGACTCTAAAGTCATAGATCAACAACACATACAAAAGCAACAATTTCTGTTTTGCCAAAGCAAATTGCTGCAAGCAAATTAATTTAACAAAAATCAAACCCTTACAAAATCTATGATATGCCTGTGCCGATCTACAACCGCCCGTTTCCAAGGGCAGCCCGCCTTTGGGCTCACACGTTACAGAAAAAACAAATAGTGTTTTTGATGTCTTTTTTTAAAGTAAGTGTCAGTTTTTAACCAAAAGTCAGTGTAAAAGTAACAGTATTAATTTAAGTAATGCCGCCAAAATACGTATGTGCAAGTAAATATATATTTTTCTGGTTTTCTGTTTTTGTGTCGCATTTTCGGCCATCTGGTGATTAGGGCCTAAATGATGTAGAGTACAGATGGACATTCTCCTTTATCGAACTGAACGTGTCCGTGTGGTTACGGATTTAGAATACAAAGTGTTACCACAACTATTCATCCCGTGGGTGTCGTAAGAACCGACTAAGAAAGAAAACTATGCAGAACAACAGCACTGCAGAGAGAAGGAAAACTTGACACAAACCCTTTTTTTTTTTTTACGTGTGGAAATCCCCTCGGACCGTCACCCCGCCGGGGCTCTCGTTCGGCGGGGCGGTGCGTCGGACTCGAACCGACTAAAACCACAGGGTGTGCCCTCTTTGCGCTTCCAGTTTAGGAGGGGTCCAGGTAGTTATCGCCTTCTGGACCCCTCCCAGCGCCGGCCCGCTCCGTCCGATGCGGGCTCCGTCTCAGTGGACCCTCTCTTTAGGCTCGCGGCTGGCCAACTAATGCGGGTGGAGGGGAGAACCCATCCCGTACACCCGCGGCCACGCTCAGGGCGGCATGAGGCGTAGGTAAGCGCGCCTCCGCCACCCGGTTCGCCGGCGGCGGATCAGGTCCGAGTGGAGGTCGTCCTCCCGGGCCTTCTCCGCCGCCTCCTTCTGCGAGATTACCTCCTCGCAGAAGGTTGCGACCGCGGTAAAACAACTGTCGCTACCGGCCATGGAGCGGATTACGGCCGGAACTTGACACAAACCCTATACCAACCCGTCTGGCCAGCGTGGTATAGTAGGCCAAAACCTCCTTTCTAAGGAGAGGCTTATGTACAGCAGTGGACTATTAAAGGCTGTTGATGATGATGAACTGAACAAAGAATAGAGCCAAGCATAGTGCGAAACATCATTACGAACATTCTAGCGAACGCTGTAGTAAATGATTTTTTTATTTTTTAGTTATGGAACAATGGCAAAACTTAGCAAAACGAATGCTTATAACCAGTGAACACTCAAATATATTAGCACCATTAGACGTTGCTTTATTAATAAACATGTTTAATCTGCATATAGAGGCCTTTTTCCTACAATGGGGATCGGTGTTCTATGCATACCCATGCGTCCTTGCTTTTTAGGTTTATTATAATGACTATCTCGGTCGTAACTGTCCCATGAACTGGGTTTTGGCATTTTGATATCAAGTTTTGGTCTCGGTATGTCCACTGGTCTCGCTATGTGTTTTACATTTTTATTTTTCTCCTCAAGTATATTTTTGAATGAATCATAACTACCCCATCCTGAATTTTGTTTTTTATTCGTTCCAACACTATCCCACGCACCATCTCTTTTCAAATTACCATCGTCATCGTTATTTTTCCAATTGCTTTGCTTAACTTTCTTTTTTTCTTCTTTAGAGTAATAATCGTCATCTTTTTTATTCCATTTATTAACCTTTTTACTAAAAGCGTCATCTTTTTTATCGTATTTGTCATCGCTTTTATTCCAATCATCATCTTTTTTATCCCAATCATCATCTTTTTTATTCCAATCAATTTGTTTTTTATTATTTTTGACTTTTTTTTTATTTGAATCGTAGTCATCCTTTTCAATCCTACTATTTTTCGGTTTCCAGTCTTTTAATTTTTGCGAATCATCTTCTTTTTTATCCCAATCAATGACTTTTTTTTGGAAATTATTGTCATCTTTTTTATCGTCGTAATTTCGATCCCAATTATCATCCTTTTCATCCCAATCACCTTTTCTTTGGGTACTTACTTTTAGTTTATACTTATTGTCTAAATTTGGTTTAATATCCTCTTTTTTATTCTCAATGCTAGTTAATCTTTCTTCATTCTCACTGTCAATGTTCTTTTCAAAATTCTTGATCACCTTTTCTCGAATAGGTCTTTTGATTACATTTTTATTCTTTTTGCTCGATTTTTCGTCATCAATTTTGAACTCTTCTTTGTATTTATTTTTGTTTTCGTCATAATCTGACCAATTGATTATATGTTCTTCCATTGAAACTCTACCACTACTTTTATCTCTTGCATTTTCTTCCTGTATCTTTGTTTTCTTACGTTTTAATTCTACATTAATATTGTGATCTGTTTCCATATTGGTAAATTGCTTGCTTTTCACCATACCGTAACTATTTTGGTTAGCTGGATATTTTTTAATTTCTTCTGAAGCGCTGTGTTCTATTGTGATTGTTGGGTCAATATTGAAAGTCTCGGTAGAAATTTCCTTAAATTTGTTTTTGAATTTTTTATAATTTTGAGGGTCATTTACTTTTTTGATATTTTTATTTAATTTTGTTTTATTTTGTACCTTTTTTTTCTGTTCACCCGAAGTTAGACTTGCAACTTGTTCCAGCTTTTTAAAACGCTTGATCTTTGTATTAAATTCAGATGCTTTAGTCTGGGTATCTTTATCTTTACTGTCTGATTCAGTATCTCGATATCCTTTTTCAGGCAATTTTCTTTTCACCGGATTATTGGGAGCTCCATATTTTTCAACGTCCATACGTTTTTCTTGACTGTTTTTGATTACATATTTAGACAACATTTCTGCGACTATAGGTTTAACTAAATTAAACGCCTCGTTATATTTGTTAACTGCTTCTGAATTTTCCGGCGAATGAGAAGAATCTGAAAAGAAAATAGCTCAGTTATACTAGGTTATATTTTATCATTGATGATGTTTTATTTGGTGTAGAAACGCAGACGGATCATCTGATGGTAAGTGTCTACCATCACCCATGGACACCTGCAACTTTAAATTAAAAAAAAATTAAGATCTCCTCCCTCCAGAATTAGGGAGAGGGGAGAAAGAGTAAAAAGTAACGAAACAATTACTTAACACCTGTTTTCTGTGAGACTATCGAATAGTCTGTGAAATACCTGATGCAGTCCCTTTGTCTTCTGAATTTTGCTCTTCTCCAATATGTCTCCGCTTATTTACTTCTTTAGTGTCAGCTGTATCTTTGTCATCAATCTTTACTGATCCTTTTTCTGTTCTGCAAAATAAAAATAAAGATTTCCAATGTGTCAAAGACTTGATTTGATACATTGCAAATCTGACGGGCCTATTGATCTAGAGGTTACTGATCCTCACTACTAATCCAGAGGTCGTGGGTTCGGTTCCTACATCGGATAAATATTTGTTCTGTGTTTGGGTGTAATTTATCTATGATAATATTAATATTTATGTATTTATAATTATTTAAGTATGTTTATTAGCAGTCTGGTTACCATAGCACAGGCTCTGTCTAGTTTTGGATCTGACAGCGGTGTGTGAGATGTCTTATCTTCTTCGTTTGTTTGATTAGATTTTTAATTTCCACCTTGGTTTTTAAGCGCAGGTATGTTCAGGAAAAAACAGTTATCCAAAAAAATGTCACCAGTAAATGTTGGCCTTGTAACTATCCGGTCACCTGATGAAAAGTTATTACGCACGCAGGCGTTCACCTTGCAACTCAGGTGTCATAAGTGCGTTACCGGCCATTGAAGTGCTATTACGCTAATTTCTTAAAAGTTGAAAGGTCGTATTGACCCGGCAATATTGCTGGCGAGAGTTTCTTGCACAAATTGGTTAAGCAAGGCTGAATGTTTCTTGAAAAGCCCTCAGCATTGGAGTGCCAATTATTAAAGTGATGAGGATGGATGGTCTTTCTTTACTAAAGTTCTTTATAACTTCATGTTACGAGTATATATTTTAAGTGTCGTGTGGTGTGGGATTAAGAATACGGAATGTCACCACCCCCATTCATCCCGTGGGTGTCGCAGGAGCCGACTAAGGCAGAAAACTACGCAGCACAACAGCACTGCAAAGAGAAGGAAAACTTGAAACAAACCCTGTATCAACCCGTCTGACCAGCGTGGTATAGTAGGCCAAAACCTCCTATCTAAGGAGAAGCCTATGTCCAGCAGTGGACTGTTATAGGCTGGTGATGATGATTATTTTAAATACAAATTTAGAGTTTCATATGTGTACTTACCTATTTTTGTTGTTTGTTCTAAAATACCTCAAGTCAGTGAGTTCATTAAAATAGGATCCTGAAATTTTAAATATAAGTTTATTATCGTATTCTTAATATCGCTGTGTTAATATAATTCCGAGTTCAGAAGTTACTTTCTTGATTAAACATCTAAGAACTAAATGTATATTTATGTAGAAATACGTGGGGTGGCGGTTTAAGAATTCAGTGTCAAAACCCCTATTCATCCCGTGGGTGTCGTAAGAAGCGACTAAGGGAGCATACTACGTAGGACAACAGCACTGCAAAGAGAAGGAAAACTTGAAACAAACCCTACACTATTAAAAAGTGAAAACTTACGAAGGGTGCTTCCATGGCTATCAAGGTCATCATATGCTTCAGTTTGTTGTTTCTCAGAATCACCAAGATTTTTATAAGTTTCCAAAACCTCAGGATTACTGATATACTGCAAACGTTCCTCTTTCGGTAACACGTTAAACTTCCTGTTAACATCGTAGTTCTTTTGAAGCAGTTTCATAGTTTCAAAAATATCTACATCATCTTTGCCTTTTTCTGTAATTTCAAGTTATATCAAAGTTTTAATACAGTTAACATCCCGTGGGTGCCGTAAGAGCCGACTAAGAGAGCAAACTACGCAGGACAACAGCACTGCAAAGAGAAGGAAAACTTGGCACAAACCCTATACCAACCCGTCTGGCCAGCGTGGTATAGTAGGCTAAAGCCTTTTTGTTAAGAGGCCTATGTCCAGCAGTGGACTGTTAAAGCTTGTTGATGTGATGTGAATACCCGCTTACTTACTGTTTTGGACTGGTCTGTGTGCCCGGCCCTTCTTTTGCCGACTTTCTAAGTTCGCTTGCGTAGTAAGGCAAGGTAATTAGAATCCATACTTATATTCCTAATGTGAAAGTCACTAAATCGATTTAAAACCAATGGAAAGCTTCATTATCAGCGAGTAACATAGGCTATTTTCTTCCGCGATGACCGACATACACGCGTATGTCGGTTATGTATGGTTAGGTATGTCGGCGGTCGGGCAAGCCGTCATCGCGGCGGTAAGACCCGTTATGGAGGATTGGCTCGAGAGGCGTCACGGGACCCTCTCATACCGATTGACGAAGTTGATCACTGGGAAGGGATGTTTCGGAGATCACCTGTGTCTGATCCGCAAGGAGCCAACGCCCGAGTGCCACCACTGCGATGGCCAGACCGTGGACACGGCTCTCCACACGCTGGCAGAGTGCCCGGCGTGGGTTGAGCAGAGGCGAGACCTCGTGGCGGCCATCGGAGTGGGAGTTCTCTCGCTCGATAGCCTGATTGCGGCTATCGTGCGGAGCGAGAGTGCGTGGAACTCTGCCGTCTCCTTCTGCGAGCAAGTTATGCTCGCGAAGGAGACGGCGGAGCGGGACCGGGAGAGGTTTAGAACTCTCCCGGCCCGCCAGGCCCGGGCACGGGCCAGGCACCGCAGGCGACTCAGGCGCCGGAGGTCGCAGAACGACCTCCGTCCTCCATAAGCGCAGGCCTGGGGGTGACAGGTGAGGCCATCTGTCACCCTAGCAGAAGCGAGCGCGTTGCGAAGCGCGCTCGCTTCCAGGGAGCACAGGGAACATGGGGTTCCCACACGGGGGGGGGTCGTCTACTCGTCTGTAGATGACCCGAGGTATGTCGGGGCACCAGGGACTTCCTTTCTAGGGTATACCTGGTTCCCCGGCTATTAGTACCCGGCGACGGCGTGCGGTTTTAGTCGGTTCGAGTCCGACATGCCACCGACAGGTGGTATCCGAGGGGATTTCCGCACGGAAAAAAAAAAAAAATGGTATGTCGGCGGTCGGGCGGATAAATCATAGTTATAGGTAAATCACACCCAGATGCAGAACAATTGATGTTGTTCATCCCTCAATATTTTTGTCATGGGTGGGAATTGATCCACGTGCTCTGCCTTAGCAGCCAGGATCACTAACCATTGAACCCTTTAGTTATCTTTATACCTACCCACGGCACGATCATTGGACTTCAAAGGGTACTTCACTTCAAATTTATCAGTTTTTTGAACTATGTCAATCAATTTAGCTGTTTCAGCTGCTCTGTCGTGTACCCAATGATCTGCTGGATCCCAAAGGTCAACCTCGTTGACAAAATGTACTAAAATAATTAAAATTGTTTTTATTAAACTAAAAATGGTGACGAAGACATACAGAGTTATAGGATTTCCAGTTTACTGAGTTATTTTCTCAGCGTTGAAGACAGGAATGAAGAATATTAGCCTCTCTCGTTCTCTAATCGCCATTGCTTTGGCAGACTTCATTTCCTCAAAGAAGCGGTAGAATCCCACGCAAACTCACTTCGGACGACGCTCGCTAAGGCACGAAAGGCATTCTGCGTCAAGTGTTACCTCCATCCGTCCCGCAGAAGGCTTTGAAATGTGTTTGATGCCCTCGACGCCTCCCTAGCGGTCATCGTAGGCACAAACAGCGGAATGCCACGCATTTTCTGTTACTGTTTCTACTACGTTAAGTGTTGTGGGTGCAATCCCGATATTGGTGCGATATTCTTTAAAAAAAATTGTCTTTTATAAAATACTCACCGACCAAATATAAAACAAATAAATGCATTTCTCAAGAAAACATTATTGGTCAAATTGTTTTTCCGCTTTTAATACATTTTGTTACATTTTTCTTATCTCGAAGTTTAAGATTAAAACCATACCGTGTAACATTAACATATGTATATATATATCGTATATTTGTTTTTCTGTAAATTCTAGTTGTGTTTTTTTTTATGTTAGAGGGCAGACGAGCAGACGGGTCACCTGATGGAAAGCGACTACCGCTACTAAGACGCTACTAAGAAAATAAGATAGAGTCGAAACAAACTTGTGTCTGAAATACGAACAGAAATTGGAAATCTAGTCCAGTTCAACCCAAAAAAGACACAGGTCTGTGCGTTCACCGTAAAGAAGATACCATTTGTCGTATCACCTCGGCTTGAGAGCACCTCCCTAACTGCCTCAGCCAGCATCGGAATCCTAGGCATCGACATATTGAGCGAAGTCCAGTTTCGGGATCACTTAGAGGGTAAGGTCAAATTGGCCTCGAAGAAGCTCGGTGTGCTGAACAGATCAAAGCAGTATTTCACTCTGGCCCACCGCCTTCAGCTCCCTCTGGCCCGCATCCAACGAAGAGCGACTCGAACCATCGATAGCCCAAACATCTCCGATTGTCTCGATCCCTTGACGTTACGTATAGATGTGGCTTCACTCTGATTGTCTATCGCATATATAATGGAGAGTGCTAAGCTAAGTGCTAAGATTGAACCGTTACCCTTGTCATAAGCATACAGAGTTTATCTTTGTAGTTCTTCGTGCTGATGATGATGATGATAACGTCATCTGTAACTAATAGATCAGGCAAAATCTTTTTAGGTTTAAAGGCCCAATTCTTGCGGAATTTCATAGGATTTTTGACATCAGGTTAATACCCATAAGAAGCTAAACAAGTACCATAAATTTTCATCTCCTTTCAGAGCCTTTTACCCAAACTAGGTTAGGGTCAGTTTTTAACCTACTACGATACGGCTGAACTTCGATTTTTTACGCGTAGCAACTGCCCTCACATCACACACATCAACAGCCTTTAACAGTCCACTGCTGGACATAGGCCTCTCCTTAGAAAGGAGGTTTTGGCCTACTATACCACGCTGGCCAGACGGGTTGGTATAGGGTTTGTGTCAAGTTTTCCTTCTCTCTGCAGTGCTGTTGTTCTGCGTATTTCGCTTCCTTAGTCGGCTCTTACGACACCCATGGGATGAATAGGGGTGGTGACACTCTGTATTCTTAATGCGTCCCCACACTGCCCTCAGACCCCCACAACCCAAGTAGGCGATATCGAACTCCAACTACCCATAAGGATTGCTACAGATTTTCGTGTGGCAACCGGACCAATGGCTGAACGTACTCTGCGAGGCACAAATTCTACCGTACAAAACCAATCTGTAGAATTAAATTTAGTCTGGTGGTATTACCGTACCGATACGACCTTCAGAGCGTCCAAAAGCACAAGACAGCACACTCGTGACCCCTGAGTTACAGGTTTCCATGGGAGGCGGTAGTCTTATTCCATCAGCTGATCGATAAGATTGACTTATAGCGTGAGTAATGATGAGGTAAAAAGGCAGTGACAAGAAATTGAGAGAGGTATACTGTTATGGTTTGGGTATTTTGAAAGGATGAGCCAAGAGCGAATAATTTATTTATTTATTTATTTATTTATGGTTTGCTTCCAGTCGTAACATTGTTACTTAATAATAATAAATTACATGTGGTAGAATTGGCTAATGTACAACCAATTTAAGCAAACACAACATGCATAGTGTTAATAAATGAAAACAGGAAACATTAAAATCCGAAAGCATACGAGCGGGAATCAAAGCGACCTCGCAACAGGCACCACCTCAAATCATACAAACAAGGTTGTTGGCATTATCCGAGGGCACCACACACGCCGGACCGCCCGGCACTCCGACAGAGACAGAGGCATGCAACACCAACTACGCGATCGCGCTAACTCCCGCCCTTAGACCTAGTTATATATGTATATCATCTTGGCGCGCGAAACTATAAAAATTCAACGTTACTAACATATACAAAAGAAGAATGTTTCAGTTCAATGTTAGATTAATTGTCAATTACGGAGTTAATACATTTTCGGAAATGACACAAGGAATCATTGAATATATCCAACGAGCCGCTGTATTCATTAGCAAGCCTAGTTAGACGACAAATTGGAGAATTTGATCCTAAAACAGTTCTTCGTAGGGGTGGGCAGAAAGGAGTGATTCTTGAACGTGGATATCTCGTTGGAACTCGTAGTTTAATTTTACTAAGAAGCATTGGGCAGTCAATTTTATTCGTTACAATTTTGTAAAAGAATATAAGGTCTAGTACTTTCCTACGCTTTTCGAGTGAGTCAATACCGAAATGCTTCAATTTAAAACGATATGAAGACTTCTTCAGTGTATTTTGCATGCCAGATGTATTTATTAGATGCCACATAAAACGCTTTTGTATGCGTTCAATGCGGAGACTGTGTACGCAATAGTGCGGACGCCATACTACACTGCAGTACTCCAACGTACTCCTAACAAGACAGTTATACAGCAATATTTTAGTTTTTGGATTTCGAAAAACCTTGCTGTTTCTGATCACAAAACCCAGCAGTTTGGAGGCTGCCCTCATTATGTTCTCCATGTGGGGCACCAATGTTAATTTCCTATCCAAAGTTACACCTAAGTCCCTAACACAATCAACCTCTTGCAATTTGGCACCCTGAATGTAATAAGCCGAAGGGATAACTTTATAGTTTCGAGTAAATTTAATGTGATGGCATTTAGATACATTCAGTTGCATTTTATTATTTAAACACCAATTGGATAGTTCATCCAAGTCTGTTTGAAGCATTTTGATATCGTCTAGGCTATTTATTACTTTAAGAATCTTGAGGTCGTAGGCAAACATAAATGGAGTCGAATTTAGGAAACAATTGGGCACATCATTGACGAATATATTAAAGAGAACTGGTCCCAAATGTGACCCTTGCGGAACGCCAGATGTAATCCTATAAGTATCTGATGTATAACCATTCAATACGACATAAAAGATCCGATCCGTTAAATATGATTGTATCCATTTGAGAAAAGTGCCCGCTATTCCGTATTGTGATAATTTCTTTAAAAGAATTTCGTGGGAAACCCTGTCGAAGGCCTTACTGAAGTCAGTATATATTACATCCACTTGTTTCTGCTTATCTAAGGCCTCCGACAAAGTCTCCACAAACGTACTAAGATTTGTGCAAGTAGACCGGGCCTTCATAAAACCATGTTGATGATCTGCGAGACTAAGCCTAAAAAAATGCTGCACATGTAAATTCACTACAGACTCGAAAACCTTCGCGAGACTGGACAAAATAGAAATTGGTCTATAGTTCTGAATTAATGCGCTATTGCCTGACTTATGTATGGGTACTACTCTGGCCGCTTTCCAAACGTTTGGGAATATACCGGTACTTAACGATTTATTATAAATCATACAGAGAGGAGTAATTAAACTTTTTGCACATGAAACCAGAAATAAATTAGGAATGCCATCAGGTCCAGCCCCTTTCGATGTGTCTAGATTTTCAAGTTTAGTTAACAATGTATTGGCCGCAATAGTTAATGAAGTAAAACAATTGCTAATTGGCATAACATTCGAAAAGTTTTCATTTAGAGAGGATACATTACTAGAGCAATTTATTTGACTGTCCTGTGTGTAGACTGACGAAAAGTGCGCAGCAAACATGTTACTTATTTTAGTTCCATTATTAGCAACTTCAACTCCATCGCTCATATTAGCCGGATAAATACCTGACCCACCCCTTTTAGCCTTTAAGAATGACCAGAAACTTTTGCAGTCGCTATTCATATTATTCTCTATAGTGTTGATATAATTATTGTAGCATTTCAGGGATAACTTTTTACAATCTGTTCTTAACATTCTGACTTCAATCTCATCGAGAGGGTTCTTAAATATTTTATAACGTTGCCTTAATTTATTTTTCTTTCTTAGTAATTTTATTAGTTGTCTATTAAACCAGACTGGATATCTATTACTCTTTTGTTTACAATATGGAACAAACTCATTAACTACATCATGTATAACATCATAAAATTTCACAAGCATTGTATTAATATCTTCATTATCTAATAACGAAAACCAATCTATCCCATCCAAACGTTTACAAATAGCATAGTAGTCCGCTCTGTGAAAGTTCAGTTTACAAGAATGAGTCTGATCCAATTTAGTGTCACCGACTAAGGCAATAGAAATATTAAGTGGTGGATGGTAAGGGTCGATAGAAGACAGAGTATCGCCGGACACACCCACATGACAATCTTGAATATCCGATAAGACTAGATCAAGAACCTTATTATTGTGATTTAGAACATTATTCATCTGTGTGAGACTATTAATGTGTAGAAAATCAACAAATGATTGACAAAGTGACGATAACTTAATATTAGTTACAGATCTGTCATATAATTGAGACCAATTAATGGAGCTAAGATTGAAGTCGCCCATAATACATGTAGAACCATTCCAATTGTCAAAAAACTGATTACAATTTTTTATAAAGTGGTCTAAAGTTGTTTGTTTTACTGGAGGTGGTAAATATACTATACAAATTGCCAATTGACGAACAATTTTCTTATTATCTAGAATATCAAGAGTGATCCACAAGTCCTCACATTTACTTTGCTTTGTTTCTAAACGCTTGGATTTGTACTTTTTAGCAACAGCTATTAATACGCCACCACCCTTATATTTGTTACCATCTATACAAATTGCAGAGGTTTCGCGATCTCGCCTATATACATCATAATTTTCATCAAAGAGCTCACAGTCTGAGACACTACCATTCAACCATGTTTCCGTTAATGCTATAATGTCATGGTTACAACAACATAAATTGCTATAAAAACTGTGGGTTTTAGTCCTTAATCCGCGCACATTTTGGTAGTATATGCTTAAGTTATCGAATTTTGTATAATTTTACTATCAATACCTAAACAAAAAAAA